AAACTTGAATTTATTAACTTCAGATACCTGTGTTTTTCTTTAACATGACAAGAAAAAATAACTAATCTTTAAAAAATTAATATTTAATACCATAATTTCAATTACAAGTTTGAAAACCTATTATCAAATAATCAATTTGTAAGTATTGATTGTGTTTAGCAGCCGTCGTTTCTATTCAACTAATGAAAGAACATTATTTATCAGATAAATTTCCAAAAACATAAATTTTAACTTACGTTTTAAATAATTGAAATAGTAGGTATAGCAATTGCAAGAAAGTTCGTGCTAATGAAAGATTCATTTAATTGGATGACAATTGCCTCGATTTATGTATAAATAATGAATTTCGTTTCAATTAAATTCTAATCATATGTATTGACAATATTTTAGATACGAGCATTTTAGAATAATGACGTTTTATAAACAAAATTATATGTAGGTAATTCTAAAACATCATCCAAAGAAACGAACAACCGAAGCACTTTAATGAGTTTTATTCTCTTTCCATTGCTAAATTCTTCAATTACTTTACAATTATCCAGATACGTTTCTTAATTGAACATAATAGCCGTCAGTCAATATAAGTTATTTGATTAAAAGGTGAAAAATAATTTATATAAATTTTGAGTTATCCTGCGTCCAGTGTTTCATTTATTCGAATGAAATTCTGATGTTTGTGTTGAACAAAATTAATTTCTTCAATAGAATCCTATCGTGGGCAATCCTGGAGTACTTAATTGGACATTTTGTGTTTGAGTTTAAAGCGTTCCACAAAACGCTAAATAAATTGAGATCGAGCAAATACGCATTAATTTGGAAGCAAAATAATATTTGCATAATAATGATGTTTATGAAAACCGATGTGTCATTATTCATTTAAATTTTGTCAAAATATTTGAATAAGGATCGTTACCTAATTTGAATATAAACCAACTAGAAGAAAAATGTATCGTTGGCTTGCCCGAATGCAGCTAATTAAGACGTATCGGCCTGGTGTCGTTTCATTAAAATTAAGCAAATATTTCAAATCTTTTCTAATCAAGAATTAGCATATATCCCAGAGAAGCCATTAAAGGTTGAATCGAAAAATGCGTTCTTCCACAGAATAATTCTAGTAATAACGACACAAACACAAACTGGTTTATGCCGATGGCTTTTTTATTTCCGTAATGAGTGCCCCACTAATTCTCGGTCGTCAGTCCGAGAGCGCTCTTCATTATAAATTCTCGACGGCTCCTGCGGAGGAGAATTCGATCTCGAGCCTTTTTAGAGCTAGCGCTTTTCTGTCCATTGATATCATAACATTTTATTGTCCATTGTTCTGAGATGCTTTGCCAACGTGTGGGATTAATATTAGAATTCACCGTAGACATTGCATCGACTAATTAAATTCATTTTGACGAAAGAGTTGTTTTTCTAGACTAGACAGTGAAGCACCTCAGAAGCGCGGACCTAATTGCACACATCCGCCAAGACTGGCTATAAAATTTCATTTTCTTAAATATGTCGAAGAACAATAGGAAGCCGCCATCACCTGCCTGGCACGCAAACCTTCCAAAAATAAACACTATCTACATTTTCCCGGTGACTACCACACCAAACCGTGGCTTATTATTTTTTATAATTCCAAGTAAATCTCACACTTTGTTAGAAGCCAAGGCTCGTGACAATAAAATAATTTTATTATGAAGTACTGAACCATCGAGTGAAATTTGTAATGTGCAACTTCCGCGTTGAGTAACATGACAATTTTTACAAGCTATTTTCCAGCGAGTTTCAAGACCAATTAACAGAGAATTCGCCAGAACTATATTAACAATTTTTGTAACTTTATAGCTGGGTCCGAATTTTTTTTAATCAGAATTAAACTTGATAAAAAATTATTAATTTTTCTACTTTAACAATTCAATAAAACTAATTAAAATTCAGAAGAAAACAAGTGCAGGAATTCTAACTTCCTATAATAATTGGCGATATTAAAAGATTCACGTAGAGTTCCAAACTACTGATGATAAAGGGTTAATAATGGCGAGCAACAACGTATTTAATTGAGTTGTTAATTGCTTCGAAAAGTCGTCTCCAGAGAAAGATTTTTCGACTTGTTTACACACAGTAAATACGACTGAATAGGGCAGGTTCGTAAAGAATCCCGATGCTGTACTTTTTTCATTTCAAGGTATAACCGCAGTGTAAGCAATTCGTGTTTTATTTGGGTCTGCACACACGCCAGGAAGCACAACCTAATTTCTGTGCGTATAAGTAGTATTATAAAGCGACGCTGGAGATTCCGAATTAAGTCCCACCGTAAAATAGGATAAATTTTTCACAATATCCGTAAAAATTGAATTTGTTTTATTATTTTTTACTACATATTGATAAACCAAAATCATGCGAAGAATGAAATTGAGCACCTAAAACGAGTGTTTAAAGCACCGAAAACAGCGTCGGGTGTAGTTTTATTAAAGCATTAGTATCTAGCAGTGTTTTGATTAAATTTCATGTTGTGTGTCTTTATTTTTTTGTGTAGGTAGGTTTACATATTGTAATAAAATTACATTTGGCAAAATATTTATGGAAAGAAAGTTGTTTTATTAATTGTGCGAGAGAAAAAGTTTGATGAAAAAAGAAAAGTTAAATAATATTTAAAAAGCCCTGAGTTGTGCATTTATTGAAAATTCATAATCTCGGTGTATGCTTTTCCGAATCGAAAACCCGTTTCGAATTCCCATGGTGCAGACGTGAAGGGTTTATTAGTGGAAAACAAAGCCGAATATCTGGCCGACGTGCCCATTGTCCTCTGGTTTACATGAGCTAAGTGGCCCTGGACAAAGCATGCTCTCGTCATGGTGTCTAATGATGCTGATGTTGTCCAGATAGGGGATGACTTGGACACGATCTACAACGTCATTGCTGACCGACTCGAAAAACTGCCGTCTTGGGAATCCTTCGATTAACAATATTGTCGTGCCTTTTGTGCCAACCGTAATTACCGACTTTATTTTGTATACAATGGACACGAGCAACTTCGACAGTTTTGTATGTCAATTGAATGGTAATTAGTGGATAGCTCGGACAAAGTGAATGGCCCTCAACCCTACGTCTTGTCAAATTGAAGTTTACGGTATTAAAATGGAGCGAAGCTGCTTTCACAAGTCATCATGAATTAACCAACACTTTTTAAATAGTTAATTGATTCTGCAATAATGCAGAAATAGTGTCAGTTTCAGTATCAATTAAAAGAGACGTCAGCTGTTACCCCAATCTTCTAAAATATATTTCAAAATAAAAATATAATTTTATTTATAAGACTCGCCTCAGGCGATCGCTGCGAGTCCCTTTTTTTGTCCTCAGTCGTAAAAATACACGCGTGGTTGACACAGTCGACAAATTTTGTTTTCGGGGCAGTAAAGGGTAAAAAAATCACCTTGTTAAAGTGGTCAGTTGCGTCTGGAAGTTCGGTTATCACTCGTGCCCGTCTCGTGCCGTTGTAATCAGAGTTGGCTTAGGTTTTCATTCACTTGTGCCTGTCATGTTTTAATTTTTGGTAAAACGTCCTCATCCCTCTACGTATTTCTTGCTGGATGATAAAAATTTAATATATTTTATTAGCTGAAGAGGACATTCTTTTTTAATTTTTATTTTTTAATTTGAACTAGTACGTTTTTTATGTAAATGTTTTTGAAGTCAACCCTGCATATCCAGTTAGCCAGCGGTGGTTGCAATATGAGGCAACCGGTTTGTATTTAAATACCGAATTGGTCGTATATACTGTCTGTTTCTGTCACATCTCTGTCCCTCTGCCTTAAAGATCTTGATTGTACTATACATATATTTTGACGTGCGATATATATATTTTATCAGTTTTTATAATCAGAATCAGAACTTTTTTTTATTTCCTTCCCCAAGTCTCGGAAACCGCGAAAGATTACATTTGTTGCCAGCTGGAATACATAATATATAGATCAGGGTAAAATCGATATATTTTTTCAGTGCAAAAAATGTCCTTCACAACTCCCACACTCGATTACCATGTGTTGTCACCCCCATACGCTTAGAATGTTTACTTTATCAGATGCAGGTGTACATTTTATCATAATGTCATCGTGTAACCAACGAACCACCTACCGACCAGTAAGGAAGTTAAGCTAGATACTTTATTAGTGACAAAGAGGTAATTTTTTCTCAGTTTACTAAAAACAGACGTAAATAAAATGTTCTGATATCTATAGAGACATCTGTTCACGTGGTTCAGACTAATGCCATTTTACTTTTAAAATTAAAATTTTATTTAAAATAAATTGAAAGTTTGTGTACCTACAGTATAATAATTCATCATTCAATGCGATAAATTTGCATTATACATTATATAAAAAATCTCAATTGATTTCAATATCTGTCAGTTTAAAATAGAAAATTACAATTTGATTTTTTTTATTTAAAATAATAAAAATTGTTTTAATAAACCGATCATAATAATTCATGTAAAAAATGTGTATCCCATTAAAAGAATTACTGTGAAAAATTATAGTTAAAAGACGGTTCCAACCATTTGTAGACTTTGTTAGTAAGATTCAGGTGATTAAAAATGAGTGAAAAATTATTAATAAGCATTAGCAGTATAAATCATAAAGTATTTAAGGATAATAGGATGTCACAAATAAGCTTGATTAAGTAGAAAATTATACTTACTTGTTGCATATCTAATGAGAAATTATGCCTGATAATTTTTTATCATGGTGAAAAGTCGATATGAATGAAGAGAAATACGGTTTTAGATGTGCTTTTGGTGATACACATGAATGTTTGTTAAACAGGTGATCAATAACACTCGGACTCGACAACATATAAGCACTCACCTATTCATTGGTTTGGTGAAAATCAGGGGAGGCGAGAACACTGCACTGCAGTTCCATTCAAACACAGCCGATAAATTTCACATCGTATTTATTATAATTCGTTTTGCAAGTCGTAAAAAATATACACAAAATGATACAAAAAAATAAACAAATAAATATTTGATCTATTTACAAGTAATGTACAAAAATAATACAAACAATAAAATTACACGTTTTCGACTCAAGTTTTCATCATTATAATTTTAAATATTGTTCAGTTCGAGTCTTTATGTATACCTAGTCAGTCAATTAAGTTATCACACGAGATAGGCCTGGCCGCCGTTGTTAACGCCTGCAGTCTGCATCATAACGTGGGGTCTCCATGGAGGCCCTCTCCTGCCGGACCCCCCACGTTCTAGGGTGCTGTAATCGGAATCGATACTGGAGTAAATGTGATCAGAGATGGGCCTAGGTTCTTGCGCCCGTCTCATGGGTCTAGGAGAAGGCGTAGCCGTCGTCGCCGAGGAGTAATTCGCATCATCTGCTTCGTGCGGTGCCCCGGCAGAATATGCCGGCGGCGGGAACATCTGCATGCCGGGAGAAGGAGGTCCCTGAGTCTTAATCTTCTCTGGATATGTATGGCTATGAGTTCCGTTTGCTACAACCCTCGAATCGATTGTGTAATTGTTGATGTTTCTTCGGTAATTGGCGTTAATCTTCCCTCTCGGTTCACCTGAAGGCATCGCGTATCTCAGCTTCTCCCAAAATCGCTTTTCACCCCATCGTACTCTATTTCCAGTCTTTAAATAGGGCCTGAGCTCGGGATCGAGTTCAGCCTCGGGGAGGGGACCTTCTTCCAAGATAACCAACTTAAACACCCGCCCTTTGAGCGCTTCGTGCAAGGCTTGACGTAGCTCAAAACGGGACCATTCAGTTTGAAGGAAATTGCGAGTGAGAATGATTAAGACTCTTCGGCTGGCTTCCGCTGCCTCAAGGACGGCGGGTGCAGCATGCTGCAGGTAGGCGGCGTGTGGTAAGTCTCGGTAGTGGAGACAGAGCTGAAAGTTTGACTCTAATTCGGCGGCCAACGCCTGGACAACCCACTCTTCGTCTTTGGGACTGTAACACACGAAAGCGTCGTACAATTTGTCTCTGTCTTCGTATTGTTTGGCGGCGGCTGCCCGAAAACTACATAGTCTTATTCCGTAACGCGAGTAAAGCCAGACGCGAACAGGATCACGAAACACGAACCAAAGAACGACGCCCAAGAGTAACAAAATCACAATGCATAAAGTCACTACAACCATTTTCCAATAGTCCGAAACTAACATCGAGTCTATAACGGAACTTCCGGCGTAAAAGTCACTGCACGCGGTGCTGTTGAAGTCAAGGTCGCGACGCTGAGGCGGCGTTACCTCTCCGTTGTAACACTGAATCGCGGCACTATCGACGACTTTCGGGGCATTATCACCAACCCAAGCGGTAAACTCCTGCAGGAATTTGCAGCGGCACGACCAGCGATTATTGGCTAAACTTATCTCGGTCAAGTGGGAGTTCGATGACAATTGCCACACCGGAAACACCACTAATTTATTACCGTCCAATCGCAAAATCTCCAAACTCTTTAACGGCTCCAGAGTTTTATTCCCGATGCTCGAAATCACATTATTCTGCAGATAGAGTTCTTTCAAATTCGACAAATGCTCGAATTCGTAACCCTCCAACGCATAAATTTTATTGTCCTCAAGATGTAAAGTCTGCAATGTGTGGAGACCGTTAAAAGTACTATTCTGAATCGTTTCGATTCCACTATTATTAACGAACAACACTCGCATATTTTTCCGACCGATAAAAACGTGGTTTTGCAGTTCCCTGAAGTCGTTGCCGTCAAGATACACTTCGGTGGCGTCCATCGGAATTCTGTGAGGGATCTCGATGGCGTTCTGGCCCGAACAGTCAACAACGTTGGTGTTCCAGGTCTGGTCGTGGTAGCAAGAACAGTTATTGGGGCACGTCATCTCGCAATCACAAGCATCGAAGTCACAGCAATGGCAAAGGGCGAAACAATGCGTCTCGTAAGTGCATAAAAAGTCACTAGTTTTAGCTCGGGTCAGAGACATGTGGGCCATACCTCGCGAGTGGGTCATTTTGCACATGACATTGTCGAGGTCCATCACCCGGGGGTATTGCCTGGAAGCAGACATGTTGTTGACCGGGTGCAGCCATTCCATGGTGCAGTCGCAGTGAAAGGGGTTGCCACCCAGGTAGATTTCAGGCAGAGACCGGTTCGGCGGCACCGGCGACAGCCTCAACGCGTTCATGTCCAGATTTACTAAATCATTGGCATACATGTCCACGCGGGCCAGACTAGTTTTGTCCAGGAACGTATTTGGATGCACAATTTTTATAAAATTATTGTTGATAAACAAAAGCTCAACGCTGTTGGGAATCGACATCGGTGAAATTTCAGTAATGCGGTTATGACTAGCATCGAGAGTTTTCACTCGGATTTCGTCTTGGATTTTGTAATAATTACCGAGGTGTTCGATGAAATTGCGATGAATGTCCAACCATTTGAGGTTACTGGGAATAAAAGCGTAATCGAACCACACTAAGTGATTATCGGACAAGTTCAACCACAACAAACTCGCGAGAGTCGCGAACACACCGTTAATGTCTGTTAGGAAATTCTCGTCGAGGCGGATAGCTTCTAGTTGGGTGTTTCTATCAAAAGTTCCTCTTTCGATACTTTGAATTTTGTTTTTGGCGAGATTAAGCACTTGTAAGCTCGGCAAATCCCACAACATCCCCCGGGTTAAATTCCCAATGTTGTTATCGATGAGTCTTAAACCGGTCAGTTGATTCAAATTTTTAAAAGAACCATTTCGAAAGTCACTAATCTGATTTTCGCCTAAATCCAACGTTTTCAAGAAGGAAAGTTCTTTCAACGCGTCAGGCACTTCCTGAAGAGCATTCGAACTCAGATCGAGTTCTTTCAAAGCCGAACAATTACGGAATGCTGTTGAATCGATGCTAACCACCAAATTATTGTTTAGAGTGAGTTTACTAAGAACGAACAAACCGTTGAATAATAATGGACCAATGGTGTTAAGACGATTTTCAGCGAGATTTAAAGTATGCAAATTGTAGAGAGGAATAAAAGCGTTGTCCTCGATAAAACCGATTGAGTTATTTCTCAAATCCAATATTTGAAGAAAATACAAATCTTTGAAAGTTTTGCTGTCAATGCGAGTCAAAGCATTGTGAGACAAATTCAAAACAATCAAACGAATAAGACCAGCGAAAGTTCCTGCATCGACATGATTACTTGTCAGCTGATTTCCCGACAAATCAAGAATCAGCAATTGCTCTAACCGATGAAACAGCCCTTTGGCCAACGAAAAGAGGGAATTATTTTGAAGATGAATCTCACGTAATTCACGTGAACCAGCAAACAACCCTTCAGGAAGGCTCTCAATTTTGTTATTTGCCAAATTCAACATTCTGAGAGACACTAATCCGGCGAGGGCCTCACCGGAAATGTCGCTGATGTTGTTGTTCTTCAAGTCGAGCTGTTGCAGTCGCCGAAGCCGTGAAAAACCAGAGTTCTCAGTCAACGCTCTCAACTCATTGTATGACAAATCGAGATTTTGCAATTCACTGTTACTGCACTCCGGTAAATTAAAACCAAATCGTTCCGGACTTTTAATTCGATTCCTCGTCAAATTGAGAGTTTGCAGATTTGCGAGCGAACAGAAAGTGCCATCGACGACAGCCCGGATATTATTATTGGCCAGATCCAGGATTTGTAGTTCTTTGAGTCCGTTCAAACTGTCGGCGTTGATATCAAGGGTCTTACTCGAACTCCATTCCGAATTGAACGTGTTAATTGCCAACCTCTTCACATTGTACAAGCCCTCAAACGAATCCGCGTCGATGTTGAGGAGTTTGCAATTGGTAATTTGTAACTCTTCGAGTTCGTGGAGACGTTGCAGTCCTTGTGTCGGAAGCGCGCTTTCGAAGAACAACACCTCACTGCATAACAAACGCAATTTTGAAGTGATTTCGGCGGGCAAAGCACTGATGTTGGTGCCGGTGCCATCCAAAGTCCTCACTCTGCACGTCACGCTGAACTTTGATGAAGACGTATCGTTGTTATCCGGTAACCAGGTGCAACCCTCGGGACCATCGTATCGAGTTGCGGACAAACAAGTCGCCAAAAACATCAAATTCAACACCAGTTCCAGCCACATCGCGAAAATACTGGAAACTATTTTTTTTTCTTTTTTTATTGTTTTAGCCTGACCATTTCACCGCTTGGAAAAACTCATTAGGTTTAAAACGCATTTGCAGTTAATAAACGATCATATCACAGTCACTGTTTACACCGGACTCTCACGAATAACTGATTTAAGTTCGTACGCGCGCTGCTCATGCGAACCAACCTCTCTTGGAGTCAAAGTAACACTAAAGATCTTCACCGCGTTACTGCGGTATATACAGAAACGTTCAAGTTTTACGGCTAGCGCAAGCGCTTTCAAACTTGGAGCTTTTACCGCCGGTATGAGGGCGCTAGTTTCCGGACTTTTATTCATTCAAGAAATAATTCGAGAAATTAACATGGATTTTATATCCTCCAATTATCGCAAAAATTTACGCAGTTAATTCATTATTTGTTTCAGCAAAAAAACGATCACAATTTTACTTTTTTTAAGTAATATTTAATTACTTTTTTTTGAAATGCAGAAAGAAATTATACCCGAAACCAATTAACTATAAAAGCATAATTTGATGGTTTGGGAATTTACTCATTTTGGCAAACAATTATAGTTATTAAAGTTATTATAAAAAATACATAACAGGCAAGTTGTTTAGCAGTTAGTAACCGTTTCCCCAAATTTTAAATCAGTACCTAAGACTTTAAATAACTTGACAACAATCGCAAAAGAAACCTATTTAAATATTCTTGAATAAATTTATTGCTCGTGAATACTTGAAGTAAACTATTTTTATTGTATTATTGCATGGTAAAAAATAGATTGTTTTATGACACTTAATAGCAGGAAACGTTAAGATAATCTCAACTGTTTACGTTATTTATTTTTAAAAGAATAAATTAAAGTGCTTGTAGTTTTATTTTTAACAATAGAATAAAATTTTAATCAGCAAGAAATTATTAAGTTACGTGATATAATTTAAATTAGAAATAAAGAATTTTTTTTAAGAGGAGCCTGATCGCTCTAGTGTGATGCAAGGATAGGGGGCAAAGTATGCCGATTTAGGGTAGTTTTGGGAAAAATGCATCTTTCGACGAAAATCAAGAATTTCAATGTTATTGCCTCCGCGAGAAAATAAGCAGTATTTGGCAATTTCGTGTCTTTAAAAGTATGACGATTTAAACACAATCTCATTTGAAACATTTTTTTCTAAAATTTTTGTGAATTTCTTACGTGGTAGTCTCAAACTTAACCTCTTACCAAAATGTCGGTGGTTGTTGGAATCATTAGGCCAATGACGAGTGTCCAAAAAAAAGCAGGTAAAATTTGAATTGTTAAATAAATTTAATTAATAATAAAATAATATTATAGTGATAACTAATTCTCAAACAACCTCGTGATAAAAACTGTACCTATATGCAAATAAATTCGTACACTTAGCACAACACCTAGTTTTCCAAGATCTGACAGCTGTCAATAAAATGACATGAGTCAAATAATGGTTAAATATATCGTGCCATTTCAATCGTCCATTCTGTCACTTTTTACAATGATTTTTCTATATGAAATAGTGGAGTATTTTGGTTCAAAATATTGTCAGTTTTTGACCTACTACACCTCAAAAAAACACAGTTGCGACAACTAAAATGGCACAATACACCTATAGATAAAAAAAAACAATAACTCGCATTTTATTTCCATCACAGTTTCCTTCCCCAGTAGTGGAACAAAGTAATTTTTTTTTTGATAATTTTTTTATAGCAATTAGTACGATGTGCTTAAAAAATAATTTATACAAATAGTTATTTAGGTATTAGTTATTTAGTTACGTAATAACTATGTTTTATTACATATTAATGCTATTTTTATATACTTAATTATATTATTTATTATTCGACACTGTCAAAGTTTACGGTTTTTCTCTTGTGTAAGGAAGTTTTGACAATTGCTTGGCATTTTTCAATACGTAACGCCATATTATTTTTAACAGATTTAAAGCAATTTTAAGCCTTATTGAGTATAATTTAAAGAATAAAATATTGTATTCAACTCATCTTCGTGTAAATTGATTCAATCATTCCACCTCGTAAATGATAAACCACTCGTCAACACTCGTGGTTTAAAAATCCACTCTTGAAATAAAACGTCCGATTTACACTCAAACTCGTCGAATAAATAACTATATTATATAATTATTTAATGATTAATCAGAATCAATAAGAGTTACCTACTAGTTTATTAATACGAAAGTCTTCTTTTATTTTTTTTATCTTATCCAAATTGATTTAAATAAATAACTATCAGAAAGATGAGATAGTAGGGGTAGTAAAGTAAACAGAAATTTATTTTATAAATATTGCTTTAAATACTTATATTTTGAAAAGAATGTGTAGTATTTATTGATCTTTGGCTACATGGCACAATTTTATAATAGTTAAAAATAGTATTTTTATTAAGATGAATAAACATTTGTTTATAATTGGTTAAATATTCCAAACCGTAGATGATTCAATTCTCAGTAGAATTCCATCTGTTTGCATTTTTATTTCCAAAAACGTATAGCAGACTAATCTTTGTTGACATCTATTAACAATCAATGGGTACAGCAATGGACAGTTTTTACCATTACAAAACACTGAAACCAAAATGTTAGCATAAATTTTGTTAGAATTAAACAGACCTAATAGGTATGAAATTTGCCGAACTCAAATACGTTACTATTGGTTAAACGAAAACAAAAACGAAAATCAAATATAAAAATTATGAACTACGGGCTTAAATCTGGTGTTTTTAACTTTTTGTGATTTTTTATTTAAATAAAATTGTTTCACAGTTTTGGTACTGCTCTTATTTGGTTCTAAATTCAAGCATGGTGATGCAGCAACCCAACAAGCGACCCAATCGCGCGGGTCGCAGCACTTACACCACACCGAGCTTGATTAATCCATAAACAATTCATGGTATTTGTTAGCCGCCAGCTCTCGAGAATGTTGTTTGTTCGCCATGACTATTGCCATGCACCCCCGAAAACGTTTATTCATTCATGATATCGACAGCGTGTGCAACCCCTCGAAAAATCGACTGTTTTTCGCGGAAAATCGTTTAGTGCTATACCTCGTAACAGGCGTATTAATTCCATTCTAATATTGCAGACACCCCCACGTTACATTTTTAATATCGTTGCGTCTTATCAAAGAGGGAGTGGAAAGATAAAACGATTCCAAATGTTTAGATTTGTAATAGGAGAGCACTTAAGATAAAAGATGTGTCCGGTTTTTATTTATCGGATTTGATATATTCCGGCTTATAAAAAATGCAGTTAGGATAAATGTGATACATCTTCCACTTTTTTAATATAGATAGTCTGTTTCTGAAAGTTTCAACGAGGGACTGCCCTTCTTCCTATTGCAGATTTGTCGCTCCGGGCAATACTGATGCAGTAGGCCAACAAATTCGATCGAAGTTATGAATACCCTAGCAAAAAGGAGACAAAATAATAAAAAAGCAAGAAGGTTTAAGTTTAGATTGCAGCCTGTAATTTGTTCAAGCCAATTTCCTACAATAATAAAATTATTATATTTTTTTCTTAAACTTAAACTATTTTGTTATAAAAAGCTTTTTTTCACAAGTAAACTTAAAATTAACAATTCTTTGAAACTAACAAGTTTTAGTAACTGACAGCAGATTTCCAATTTGCACTTGTCGCAAAGATTAGTCTTTAAAGTACCTGTAGTAAAATGGCCACCAGTGGAGAGCTTAAAGACTTTATGTCATGAAAGTTGATTTTTCATTGTGTGAGTTTTAAGCGACTATAGGTGTCCCATTTTTCACTAAATATTTTCTTTCAGTGACGCAGATTTTGTATTGTGCCCCACAGAGATAATCCGAGGATCGGTCATGTGATAAAAATTGCGAGGAAGCTTGAGAATGTCAATCTCTTAATCCCATATTAACCTTCCAGTAAACAGGAAAAGTGTATTTTGAAAAACGAGATAAAAATCTCAGTTTTTTGTGGTGTGAAAAAAATAACACAATCTTGCAATTTATCTATGTGGCATATAGTAATAGTTTATGACAAATGAGCAGTCTTTGGAAAAATCGGAAAGGATGAACGATTCGTGCAGGAGAGCGACAGTACATGGAAGCAAAAGGGGGCGAACAATAAAAACTATAGCTGATTGATAGACGGGGGTCGACAGGTCAACTCTTGATGGATGGAGTAGCGGTCAGAGCTGGAGGATGCCGCTCCCTGCACTGCCTGCCGGAGTCCTACACGCACCCACAACACTCCGATCGAAAAATTGAAACAAAACTTAGTTCGTTTTTAAACGTCAAAAAGGCCGGACAATAGTCTTGGATCTTGTCGTTTTCCGTATTTCTGGCGTGGATTGATGATTGCCGGAGTCAAGTGCAGCGCCTTTCTTAATGTGTTTGACTGTCGATAATGTAGATACCGAGAAGAGACGTGTCGCAATAAATGATCTTGTTTGTATTGAACAGATACATCATACTGACATCAATGCTCAACTTTCCGGCGAGTATCAAAATACAAAAATAACAATAAAGTGAGCTTCATTGTACAAGGCGACAATATCGGCAAAAACATGAACCGGAGTCAGACCACGGACGACAACAAAATACAGTTAGAGAGAATTTCAGGAAATTATATTACCGTCGGATTAATTTATTTTTGATCACTCTACGCGAACGTCGATTTAAAAAAAATAATCATATGTTTTTAAAATATTAATTTGCGACAAATTGTTTCGTTGTTAGTTTAATTTTTCTCTAGTTATAACAGTCGGGTTTAAAAAAGTTAATCAAAACTAGCTGTGGGCGCCTAGCGAAACAAAGTTAAAACTTTGAATAATGTAATTTGTTCAAATTGAAGCTTACCATTTCATACGTTATGACTAAGAGTTTGTTCCATAAAATTTTACTGGCCGATAAATTATCGGAAATGTTGACCTCAATCTAGGCAAAATATGAAAATCGTGTTCAAATAAATCGGTTTTTTCCTCTTTCAAATTTCAATTAAATTTTTATATCGGCAAATATCTGTGAACTTGATTAGATCCGCAACATTAATTACAAGAAAGCCTTTTTCTTTTAGAAAGCAAATTTACACAATTCAAATTCTCGTCCAAACCAAATAATGAAAAATCCTCGCATTAGATGATCAAAGGTTCCGGATTTAACAAATAAGAAAACTTTCCTTTTCGACTGAAGAAATCATAAAGCTGAATAAAAATGTTG